AGTAAAGGTGTATTGCTGTCATTCCAGTTGAAAAGGAACTGATTTCAAAGGTCTCTAATTGCCTGGTATAGAAAGAAGGCATGTGCTAGAGTATTGGCTGTAACATGCTGTCCCAAGGGCTGAGGCATCTTTTAAGTCTTTGAAGGTGCTCTAATCTTTGCAACTTCTCTAGCAACACAGCATTGCTTTAGGTTTACTATTGTAGGGGGAACGTGATGGGGCAGGCAGAGTTCAAAGGACTTCCACTTGGCCCTTCCTACCATAATTTTCCTCACTCCATGGTCAAGGAACCAGTGTGGAGATCTTGCTAATTACCAAGGATACCATCCTACATGCTGAAACTAGAGAAATAACCACTGGACAGGTCTTACAGACCCACCGTGAGATGGACCTGGACCAAGATCCTCTATCAGCTGACCTCCATAAACCCTCATCTGACTGGTGCACCACAACAGGGATTTGAGTTTCCAGGACTAATATTAACACGAGACAGTATCTAATAAGCCCCCAAAGGTCTGAGTATTTCCTCTTCCCCAGTCATAGTTACCCTGGCAAATGACAACAGCTCTCTCTGGAGAAGGTTTACAGCAGTGATTCTCAAATTTTAGTACACATCAGAATCACCAGAAAGGCTTGTTAAAACACAGATTGCTGGGCCACTCCCAGAGTTTCTGATTCAAAGGATTTGGGGCAGAGCCCAAGAATTTGCATGTCTGACAATTTCCCAGGTGATGGTGATGCTGCTGGTCCAGGGACCACACTTGGAGAACTACTGACTAGGAGAAAAAATTGAAGACTCCACCTGTGAAGGACTCAGGCCTTCCCACCCCTCACCTGATAGAGGGGCTTCAGGTCTGAGGAACTGACTGAAGAAGAGGAATTGGGTCAAAGACTGTAAATCCAAATATAATTTGGATCAAGTTTCTCCCCACCAGGCCTAGAAATTTTCCACCTATATGGGTCAAGTAGCACATCAGGAAGCTGTCCATCTATTTCACTCCCAGGGACACTATGATCAATTAGCTACCACCACAGATCCATGTGGGCAAAGCACCTGGATTACCACTTGTCCCTGCAGCTTATATAGTAATTTCATTCACCTTACTGCTCATGGTTAGGTGCCAAAATCTGGCCTCTCACACTCAAAGATTCCATTATTCCCCTTGAAATAAGATTGCTCAGTCTCAAGAGGGCATCTCCCATTCTCCTCTCCCGCCTACTAAAGAAGCCACCAAAGTGCTGTTCAAAGAAGCCAGTGTTCTCCCCTCCAATGCTTTTCTTATTCTCCTGGAGAAGGAAGTAACTTTCTGGGCCCTTAGAGATGTATAGTTAGTGGTTGCACATAATAGGTTCAATCCAACATTCCAATCTCTCTAACCTGTGTACTCCTTCCTCTACTTTGTACTCAGAGTATAGTCTGAGGACGAGTGGCATCAAGCATCACTTAGAAGTTTGTCAGAAATGCAACATCTCAGGCTTCACCTAAAACCTACTCAATCAGAATCTACAGTTTAACAAGATCCCGCGTGATTCATATGCACAGGAAGGTATGAGGAGCAATGTTCTACAATATGCCAGTGAGGTTCTAGCTTCTCAGCCTCATTGATCATAGGTCACAGTTGAGTCCAGCCTCCCAGTAACCAATCCAAACGACTATGAACACCACTCCCAGGTGCTCAAATCTCAGATGCTCAGCTAACACAACAATACTCAAATCCTGGATGAGGGCATCCATATCAAGAAATTTGCTGTCCCAGGTCCCCAGGATTCTTCCAGTACAGCTGACAAACTCCTGCAACTCCTTCAGCATATATGCTCTTGTTCTTGGAGTACATCTGGTACATTCCTGAGTAGGCGATGTTAGGACCAGACTCTCACTATAGGCCTGGAGACTAGGAGGGGTGGTCAGGATGGGTCCGGAAGAGAAAATGCATGCCCTTTTCCAGGGCAAAGTTATTAACAACATTTTTTAACGGAAGGGAAGGCTGGTCATTCATGGCGGGCAGGGGGAGGGGGAATGTTCTTCTCCCAACAAATAAGGAATCTTTCAAGGGGATTTGGAGGTTCAAAATTCTCAGCTTTGTTCATCTCTGCCCAACGTCCCCACCCCAAGTGTCACAGTACTACTCTCCCAGCAGTGCCCTTCTTCTAGCACAAGGCATATGGTACGGTTGTGCATTTACTTGGTGTTGCAACTCTACAATCCAGACAATCAGGTCCTGGGCTTGATCCTCAGTCATATCTACCGCGGGGTCACAGAAAGATTCCTTAAGAATTCCATAGAGGTTATCTGGATCTCCACCCATACCTTGAGTTAGAAGTTCACGGTATTCACCTTATCTTTTTCTTATGTAACTTTGCTAGCACAATCAGAAACAGGCAGCCCACCCAATGATGTATGTGATCACCATTGGAAATCACCATTTGTGGCCATAGCAATTAAGCACCTCCCTCATTTGATCTGCTGATGCCCTTCCCTCCACCAACACTCCACCCTATGCCTCACTGGTGATAGTCACTGTGATGCTTCTGCAAGCTCTAGATGACTAGCATGCTCTTTCTGCAACAAGGAGATTATCCATAACTCATCAATAGTCACTGTGATGCTTCTGCAAGCTCTAGATGACTAGCATGCTCTTTCTGCAACAAGGAGATTATCCATAACTCATCAAATTACAAGCAACCCAATGCTAGGATCCTATTTTGGGAGTCTATTTCCTGGGTACCATTTACTTCTGGTACCATTTACTGTATCAGTCAGGATCCTGGCAGGAAACAGATGGCACACTCAAAAAAGTTTAACCAGAAAGATCTTAATAAAGGGGCTATTTCAGTGGTAGGGTCAGAATTAAGGAAACAACGCGGGCGATGAGGCACTCAGGGTTTAGCAATAGTGGGGAATCATTACCATACCAAGGCCTTAGGGGTGAGAGGAGGGAAGAGTGTTTCAAGAGCCTTAGAGATAGACCCACGGAGAGGAGGCAGCCCAAAAGGATCCATGACTGTAGCTCAGTAGTTCTCAAAGCTCAGCATATCTCAGAGTCAGCTAGAGGGTGTGTTAAAATACAGCTTACTCCAGCAGGTCTGGAGTAGGACCTGAGAACTTGCATTCTTACTAAGCTCCCAGGTGATGCTGAGGCTGCTGTCCAAAGAACACTCTTTGAGAACTGCCAGAGAGAAACAATTCACTGTCAGAGCTACAAGATGAAGATTTAGGGAGTTAATACTCCAACCTCTCTCTCCTACCATCCACTGATCTGCTGCTGCTGCTGCTGCTGCCTGCCCTGGGCCAAACCCAAACAGAAGCTAAAGGGCAAGTAATGCAGTCTGTAGAGGTCAGCCTTCCAGAGAACAGAGCAGGGCAGAGAAGAGTGGAGAATGGAGGTGGGTGGGGTAACAGAGAATAAACAGAACCGCCATAAGCAGAGAAGCATAGATCAATGGAAAAATGGATGAACTGGCATGTATCTCAACGGAAGGATAGAGTAATACTAATGGTTAATATTTAATGATGGTTAATTATGTGCCAGCCTCTGAACAAAGGGCTTTACTTAGATTACCTCATTTACTCCTAAGAAGTACCTCTATTACCATTCCTATGTTACAGATACGGACACTAAGACAGGGACACTGGATAACTGACACATGGCCGCACAGCTAGTGAGTGGCGGAATCTGAATCCCAACCTGGGCATGCCGTCTGTAGAGTCTCACTCCTCTGTACAGTCTATGTCAACGCACAGTTGGCAGACAGGCAGTGGGGACAGTAGTCAAGTGTGTAAACCTGAGAGCAAAGACAGCTGAGTGCAAGACACCTGCAGAGGGACCTTGTCCTCTGAGCCTCATGCCTTATGGGTAAACAGAGAATGATACGATACTAATAAAAATGACTTCCTAGTTTGGTTGGGAAAGTTAAGCAAGGTAATGGTGGTCAAGTCCTTGACCAGAGTCCAGCACATAGTAAATAATCAGAAATACCATTACAACTATTATTATGAATGGACGGAAAGGAAAAAGTCAGCAAACTTACAAAGGAAACATCCCCCATCCAGAAGAGGGTCCAGAGCTTGGGTGGGGATTGTTGAGTGGGTGTCCCACGTATTAACTTCTCTTCTGAGGCCTTCTCTTCGGGTCTATCTCTGGTCTTTCCCATAAGGATGGGAAATCACCCTCCCCCATCTGTCAATTCCTTGAAATTTGGGGATTTGTCTGAATAAGAGCAGGCCAGCCCCTCTCCTTAGAAACCCCCTCTTGGTTCCCAGGATCCACAGGAAGAGAAAGATGAAGGGGGCTATTCTAGGCCAGGCTCCCTCCAGCTGTTCTGTAGACCCAGGTGCTGGACATATGAAAATGGCAAATAGAAAAAGGGGCAGTTCTCGCTGGGCCAGAAGGTTGAATCCCAGAGGCCTGAGATGTGGGATGAGATGCTGAGCTTACTTCCAAGTAACCTCTTTCAGCCAAGCTTGTCCCTGGTTCCCAGATGATGGATGGGCAGGCACTGTAATGATCTGGGGAGGCTACCCCAGGCTCCATGGTTGTTCCGAGGGCACCAGGGAGCCTTCTTCACCACCACCCACACTGGAGAGAAGAGAACCACAGAGAAGAGAGTACGAAGGAAGGATAAACCTAGGGAAAGTGGCACAACTCCTCACTCTGGCCCCCCAGTCCTGACCACCATTTCTGAAGGGCAGCTCTGTGGTTGATGATGCAAATGCCACCAATGAGGTGACAGTGCAGACCCTCTCTCTGGAACCGACAGCACAAGGTCCCCTTCTCTTGGCCAGATGCAGTCTGCTTAGGTTCTCAGAGCTGAAGCCAAGGAAAGCAGAAGAGGGGGGAGCTGCTGAGGGGGGAAGAGGGAGAGCAGTGTCAGGTTCCCTCAGAAAGAGGCGGCCAAAGGGGAATCCAAAGGGGAATGGACACACAGGGGATTTCTGAGCAGAGAAAGTGAAAGTTCTGGGCCATAAATAGGAGGCAGTTGCAGCCTCACACAGGGTCTGACTCGCACATTCCCAGACACCCTCATCCCCCAAAAGGACGCCTGTGTGCTTCCCGTTGCTCCCTCCCGCTCCCAGCCAAGTCTCAGCCTCGCACACACTCCTGCACACGCCCAGAGATTTGCTCACACTCACACACTCGCTGTCCATCTGCCTCTGTGCAGCCTCCACGGCACCCTACGCAGCTGTGCTACTGGGCCTCAGCCTGCTGACTCTCTGGACCTCCCCTGGTAAGGCTGAGTGGGGCTTAGGGTAGGGGCCTGGGGGGATGTCTGGATCTCAGATGGCTTGGTGCTGAACATTATGGACACTGTGAGTTCGGGCTGCGTGTTTCAGTGAACCCAGGGGTGCCCTGTGCCTTGTATGTGTGCCTGTGAGTGTGGGTGTATCCGGGCCCCTCAATTCCAATGTGCGTCTGTCTCTTGGTGTATCCCAGGGCGTATGGCTGCCCCTCTCTCTGCAGACTCTACTTCCTGCTGCCTCAGTTTTCCGGGCAGAAGGAGAGAACAGTATATATTTGCTTGAGGTGGGGAGAATGGGAGACACTGAGGCAGGGCTAATAGTCAAGGGATCTAGCAATTCATGAGTCCTCTAACACCAGCCTCCGGCAACTCCACCTCCACCCCATTCCCCACCCCCACCGCCACCAGCCCCCCACCAACAACGGGAACATTAACTCTTAACTCTTCCTTTGTGGAGAAGTTGAGAGGTCCTGGGAGAGAAGTTGGGGTGATCAGGGCAGCAGGAAGGCATTGTGGGGCTCAGGGAAGAGGTTGTTTACCCAACAGCTTAGAAGTACCTCAATATGTTTAGAAACAAATAGGGCCCTAGAGGTGCATGCTGGCTGAATATCATCTAGCTGCCTCCACACACACACAGGCGTCCTTAATCCCAGCTAGGGGCCTGGCTTCCCCTCCTCAGGGTCCCCGTGCCCTGACACTACTTTCTTTCCCAGCTCTGGGTGGTGCCAACGATGCTGAAGACTGCTGCCTGACTGTGAACCAGCGCCCCATCCCTGGGAACATCGTGCGAGCCTTTCGCTACCTCCTCCTCAAGGATGGCTGCAGAGTGCCTGCCATTGTGTGAGTTGTGGAGAGGACTGTGTCTAACCTCGTCTCCCCCATCAGCCCCTGGTGATACCCACCCACATCTTCTCTCTCTTCTCCTTGCCAACCCAATCCCTCTAATGAAGACCCTGAAACAGGTTGCCAGATGTGGTCCCCAGCCTTGCCCCTCACTCCAGGGCCTGCCAGGAAGCTGGGTTCCACAGCTCCATTCTCTCTGACCTGACTCCAGGTTCACCACAGTGAGAGGTCGCCAGCTCTGTGCCCCCCTAGACCAGCCCTGGGTGGAGCGCATCATCCGGAGACTGCAGAAGAACTCTGTAAAGGCAAGCCTGACCCTCCCCAGTCCTGCCTCCTCCCTTGAGCCCCTGCCCAAGACCCCAGCCCATGACCTTGTCTCTCCTTCCTCCTCCAGAGCAAGCGCCACAGCAGTTAGCCCATGACAGTCCCGGAGGAGGCCCTGTGTCTGAGTGAAGGGATGTGAATCACTGTGGCCCCGGGGAAGCCAGGACCAGAAGGAGCTATCAGGCCTCCAGCTCCCCTGCACCAGACCTGAACCAGCTGGGTTGTCAGTGTGAGTGCGAGTGAGAGTGAGGAGGTGAGGGGCAGGAGCACAGCTCCTCCTCGCCCAGACTGCAATGCTTACAATAAAGGCCACTGGCACCCAGGGATTGGTCTGTCTGCTGTCTGTTTGCCATCTGTCCAGGAGGACCAAGATAGGAAGCGGGAGAAGGAATGGCAGGATCTGTTTTCCACCCTGCAGACTGAGCAACCTCTTCATTGCCCTCCACCCACCCAACACCCTGCGTTCTCAGGATCGGCCCCCACGGTCAGGGCCCCACCTCATGTCTCCTCACAGCCCTCTCACACAACACGGTTCAGCGAACTGTGTCAGTTCCCTGAACGAGCCAAACTCTCTCATGCCTCCCAGTCTTTGCTCTCCAAGACAGGTATTCAAGCATCCAGGTGTCTCAGGGATCCCATGTCACAGGGGAAATTTCAGGACCCAGCTCTCAGAGCTGGGGGAGAGACAGGAGGCCCAACTTTACTGCCTCGGGGGAAAGGACTCATCCATCCTTGTCATTCCCTCTGTCTGGAACACTCTTCCCATCAGTGTCTGCATGACTCTTCCTCCAGGAAGCCTTCCCTGATGCCAGGCTGGGTTAGGTAGCATCCTTCCCTCCCGAGCTCCCAGGGCCCGCTACCCACTCTTCTGGAGCACTCATTGCGCTGAGTTACTAGTGCTAGCTTGTTGGTGTTCCTGGACAGGATCATGTCTATTTTGGTTTCCACTGTCACCCTGGCACAAGGGAGCCACTCAATGACTATTTATCTTGAGAATTAATAAATACTTGAGGAAAGGCGCCACAGCCAGCAGGGAGGGCCCATCTGTCCCTGCAGAATCGGAACTCCAGGCCAGCCCTCCTTTCTGGCACAGTCAGTCTGGACCAGAAGCAGCCCCATCCGGGCAATCCAGGGGCCATGCTTCTCAGGGATACTGACAGACAGACCTGGGAGTCAGAGGTCAGGGTGGGAGAGGTTCGAGAGTGTGGAAGAAGGAGCAGCCACAGAGCCAGGGAGATTCGACTTGCCGGAACCCTGCAGCCCAGCCCACAGTCCACCTGAGCCCCTGGGCCAAGGCAACACAGGCCAGGGGAGTCACAGGGAAGGAGTCTCAGCTGTGGGAAATGAAAGTCCTGTGACTCTGGGAGCATCCCACAGGGCTGCTCTGGGAGGAGTGGGCTACTCATGCTTGGGAAGTTCCCTGGGGAAGCTGGCTGATCTCCTGGCTATGGCCCCTAAGGGCCTGTCCAGCTGGGAACAGCAAGTCTGTGCCACTGGGGTTGGAATGGCAGCCAGGACACCAGACTGAGCATCCTTGCCTGGGAAGAGGGGCCATCATTAGACCAGATATTCCTCATCTGGTAACAAAAGCAGGCCTGAGCTGGCCTGGACAGCCTGGGAAGGGAGTAGTAGGGAGAGGCTGTGCCAGCCCCTCCTCACTGAGCTGAGAGCATGGCAGCTTCTTCCTCCCCTCTGCTCACAGAATAGCTGTTCAAAACCTCGCATACTGCAGGTTCTTGGAGTCACAACAAGTGGGTGGGATGGGGATCGTTTGCAGGAACAACTGCTCTGGCTGGGAAGTTTGGCCCTGCTGCCTGGGGGAAATTACCTATCCATTCATGCATCCGTGCATCTACCCATCCAGCTGTCTCTGCCTCCATTAAACCTCCACCCACCCATCCACCCACCCCTCCACCTACCCATCCATCCATTAATCCATCCATTAAGTCAGCCGACCATGGAGTTCACAGGTCCCAGCTGTGGACACCATTTGGACCCTGTGCCCTGCTCACCAGCAGGCACAGGACAAACACAGGTGTCAGGGGGACACATTGCTTCAAATCCTTCTCAGTTCCCAGTGAAGCCAAGTGGAGGTCAGCCCGCCACAGAGGCAGTCACCACCCCTCCCTCTGGCCCTTTGGGGAACACACAGATGGAGCAGGGGAGGCGAGGGTGGGACCCCGCAGGGAGGGGCTGCCAGGACAGAGACCCCCAGACACTACCTCCCTGACACTGCCACAGAGGGGTCCAGGAACAGTCAGGAGCTCAATGCCCAGCCCCCAACCCCACAATCCTGTTTCTGCTCCTCACTGTGCAACTCTGGGCAAGTCCTCTCCTCATTCCCCACCAACGCCTTTGTTGCCCATCTGTCAGGCAGGGGCAGGGGCTTAATTTTTAAGAGTCTCTCCAAACAAAGACTTCACTCCTAAATATTTGGGTCTCAGGCAAACCCCCAGCATTCACACAGGCCCCCCCAAAGTCATGCACATCAGAAATGTCCCTACTTCCTGGGGGCCCCAGGGACCACCCTCTAGGAATAAAGGGGAAGCTGAGGGTCCTAAAGAGAGAAAATAATCCAGGAGCTAGTGAGCAGCTAGAACAGCCCTGTGCTGGGACCCTGGAGGCCTGGAGAAGGAAGAATTTGGATAAAGCCTGAGGGGTGAACCCCAGAGCCCCATGGGGAGCAGGCATGCAGCCCTCGCCACCCCTTCTCCAGCCAGTGCCTTCCCTCCTGCCTTCCTCCCTCCCTCTTTTTTTTTAACATATATCATCAAAATATTTTTAATTACGGGACTCTTCCCTTCAATGTGATGCCAGCCTTCTTAGTCATTGACAAAAAATTCAATTCTGGGCACGTAAGTCAAAAATTCAAACATTACTTTTATTAATTGTACAAATGAGAATAGTCTATTTGTTTCCCGGTTCTTTCCTCCCACTTTCTGACAATCTTGGATATAAGCTCATAGGGATTATCCCCAATTTACAATAGGGTTGGCTGGAAAAGTTTTCAGTTGGCTGTCTGACACTGTGAAATAAGTCAGATGGGGAAAGCCAAATACTGTATGATTTCACTCATATGTGGAAGACAAAACAACAATGATAAACAAACACATAGATACAGAGGACAGATTGGTGGTTACCAGAGGGGAAAGGGGGTGGGGGAGGGAGGAAAGGAGAAAGGGGGACATGTGTACGCTGCTGGATGGAAACTAGGCTTTTGGTGGTGAACACGATGGAGTCTACACAGAAGTTGAAACATAACAATGTACACCCAAAATTTATATAAAGTTATAAACCAATGTTACTGCAATAAAAAGAAAACAAACACCACCACTACCAAGTATTGAACACCTATCTTATATCAGTCTTTGATGCACCATATAGCTGCATTTCCCCCATTTTTTCCAGTTAGTTCCATACTAAGAAGGAGGGCATGCTATAACCTCCTCCCCCACTTCCTTCTCTCTGGAAAGACCCTCTCAGGACCCACAGCTTAGGTTTTTTCTATCAATATTCTGGTTATCTACTGCTTGGGATAAAGAAATCTTTGAAAACTCTACTGAGGGCCTCACCCCCATTTCTAACAAAATGCATCATGAGTTTCAGACAGCCAACTTGAAAACCTCTCCCTCCCTTTTTTGCCCACCCCCAGTCACCAACCCTCCTGGGCACTGCATCATACCCCCTTATCTCCCTGCCAGATGCATCCGCTTAGCCCAGCAACCTGTGACTTGTCCCACCCCACTCAAACATTCTCAGCACTCTGACTTCATCTCATCAAAACCTGCTCCCTGTTTCACTCTGATGCCCTGACAAGTGTTGGATCTTGTTTGACCCCGAGTTCTGGTGGGCCAGCAGCCTACCTGCTGACCTGACAACAACGAAGCTGCCGGCTCTCTGAGGGTGGTGTGGACTCCTAGCTCCCCGACCACAATACGGGGACCTTGCTGCCTGCCTGCTTCTTTGTAGACACTTTCCTCTCTAGGGCACATGGCACTTGCTACAGGGTTTAAGGCCAGCAGCTGTGTGATACCTCCCTCCCCTGAAGGCCTGTGGTCCCAGCAGCCAACAACTGCCTAAAGGGACCTGATACCCCTGCTCAGGGAGCTCCCAGTCTTATGTCCCGCTATGTAGTGGACAAAAACTCCCTGTCCTGTCTATCGATAGAGTTCCCAGGGAAAGGGATTGGGCCTGTCCATCTCCACTGCCAACATGCCTGTGGGGCTGGCACAGAACAAGCCCAGTACACATTTGATTAACAACAAATGGAACGGAGCACGCCGGTTCCCACGATGCGCCCCCACCGCTCACACCTGGAGCACATCCAGTTCTCAAGACAGCGGGGCTGCCGCTGTGGCGTGGGTAAGGGTTTGGTCAGAGCCAGTCCCAGACGGTTTCGATCATATTTTTACCATCTCAAGTTCGATTTCTCGGTAAACCCCTACCCCTGGCCCCCCTTCTCTGGTCTCCGGGAAACTCAGAAACAGCCAGAAACCCTTGGAAATAACAGTCTCACAAAGGAGCAGGGCTCCCAAGTGGGGAGTGTCCCTCGAGCCCCTCTGCAGGAAGACGCAGGCCCCTCTCTGCTCAGAGAACTTCCTCGATGGCCCTGGGACTTTGTCCACGTGGACGGACATGGCTCTGCGGTTCTAGCTAACTCTCCACCAGCGCCTCCTAGGGGCCGGGCGCGGCTTTCGTGCCATCATCATGCTTCGGTTACAGCTGAGGAAACCGAGGTGTGGAGGTGAAGTAACGTGCCGGGCTGCAAGCTGGCAAAGTGGCAGAGCCGGGGGTCCCAGCTGGGCAGTTTGGCTCCAGAATCTGAAGTCTTAGCCACTATGCATACACCTCTCTCAGTGGACCCATCTCCTAAGTAAAAATGGGGAACCAAAGGGCAGGGCCAGGTCCGAGGAAGTGGCCCTCAGGGAATAGGGAAAGCTGTTACTTTGGGCCGCTGGCCAGGTGCCAGGCTCCAAGCTGAGCCCGTTGTGTGCATTACATCACTGCATCCTCAGACAACCCTAGGAGCACTGGATTACTAGTCTCATTCTATGTATGAGGAAACTGAGGCACACAGAGGTAGACTGACCTCCCAAGTTCACTCAGCTAGTGAGTGGCAAGGCTGAGGTCGCAGCCCAAGTCTGCCTGACCAGTAGCACTTGGGTTGAGGGTTGAGGGCTGAGGGCTGGGGGCTGGGATGTCCACTTGGGTTGGAAAGGCTTGGCTCGCTAGGAAGGGCCGGGAAAAAAAGAGAGAAGCTGGAGGCCTCAGGTAGGACCCCATGGCTTGAGCCTCCCGGAGGAAGTGGGCATGGGTTCTGGAGGTCTGCTCAGGCCTCACTTTTCGCAAGAGTGGGCAGTGGAGAAGGGGATCAAGCTACAGCTACGCCCACGTCCTCACTTCCATTCCCAGGGGAGTATCAGAGGCCAGGACCTGGTGACATAGAAAGGAAAGGAGGAATGGAGGGACAGGGCTGGAATCTGAGGGCAGGGGCAGGACTAGGGGTCCTGTGGGCGGGGCTTCTGGGGGAGGGGGCAGGCTTCTGAGCTAGGGCCTCTCTGGTGGCCTCTGAGCCAGCCTGGCTGCCACGTCTGCAGGGGAGAGCATCTCAGGACGGATGGGGTGGGATCAGACTCCTGAAGGACTCACTTCTAGGGGCCACTTCAATCTCTTGAGGGGCCAGAGACAGGCAGGACTGGGGCCAAGGGCAAGGGCAAACACAGAGCCTCTAAGGATCCAAGCAGCTGGGAGAGTCAGACCCCTCAGCCGCTTCTGTTCTTAGAACCTTAGAGTCTCCCCTGTGCTCCCATGGGGAGGCAGAAGATGTGAGCTGCCCTGCGCCCCAACCTGCCCAAGTGGGTGGCTCTAATTCCAGCAGTTTCCACACTGCCCTACCCGGATAAGTGGACAGCCACCTCAAGACATGTAGTAGAGCCAGGACCATGCAGACAGCCCTCCAGGACAGCCCGGCGGCACCACTGAAAGGTGATACCAAATGCCAGTGCCACCCCGACGACCAGATGCCTGGGGCCCCTGCCCAGCACTCCATGTTTTAGACGGCCCTCCTCCAGCCCTCCTCCAGTCACAGCTCCAGACACAGGGCAAGAGGACACGGGGCTGAGAGGACATACCCACTGGGGGCCCATGCTTCTCCTTCTTGACCACATTTCAGGAACTGAAAGCCAGAGAATGCCCTGCCCCAGGGGCCCCACGTAGCTTCCAGAGTCCATGCAGGCCTCTTGCTCAGGTCTGTCCTTCCTGGGATGGACTATGTCACTGATGTGCACACTACTAGGTGGAGAGGGTGGCCAAGAGGTAGCTATTTGCAGGAAACGTGGAAGGAGCTTGTATCTATGGGGCGGCAGTGTCCACCCGCAGGACATGAGGCCAATCCTGGCACAAGATGGAAGGAAGGTAGGGCAGGAAGGGGAAGGGGACAAGTAGGGTACTGGACCTTGGCTGTCCCCTTACCACCTCATTCCATCATGGAACTCCAAGGAGTCCAAGAATTCTGAATCTGAACCTGGCTTTCAAATTGTTTTGAAATTAGATTTTTCAAGGTAGTTAGATAGCTACATGTTTATTTGACTATTTGTTAGCTTGATTTATAACTTTTCAATGTTTAGACACATGGTAAGTGGGCCTCCACTTGTACTGTTGCCACAAAGTTTAGGTGGTCAGCCTGCCAGATTCCACCTCTGGTATCACGGCCACAGCTGCCCCTAGAAACAGACATCACTTCCGCACATTCCTACCACCGCCAAAACGGATGCTCCACTAACCCTGCTCCTTGGCATCACTACCAGCTTCCTGTCACAGTCCTTGGAAGGTGCTTCTGATTGGCTAAGCCTAGGTCATATCCCCAAGTCCTAGCTGCAAAGCGGGCTGGGAAAATTAGGATGTGACCTCTGGGGATTCTGTGATGGAAGGCAAGCTCTTCCAGTGACCAAGACTAATAAAGCAGGAAATTCCTCAAACATAGAAAGGGGTTAAGCTTGTGGGCAGTGAAAACATGATAACTACCTCTATAGTCCACCCTATGGCTATCCAACATCAACATTCATTCTTCTTCCCAACCCTAAACTTCTTAAAAATCTAAGAGTGTTACCTAACATAATATTACTTTTGCTTATACAACCAAAACAATTCACCTCTCCCCAAAGAGAGACTACTCAGGGCCTTGGCAATTACCACACCTGTCTTTGTCACTTGGGCTGCCATAATAAAATACCACAGACTGGGTGGCCGAAACAACAGAACTTTATTTTCGCACAGTTCTGGAAGTTAGAAGTTCAAGTTCAAGGGGCCAGCATGGTCAGGTTCTGGTGAGAGCTCTCTTCCTGGCCTGCAGAGGGTCACCTTCTCACTGTGTCCTCACACGGCAGAGAGATCTCTCCCTCTTCCTCTTCTTAGAGGCCAGTCCTGTCTGATTAGGGCCCCACCCTGATGACCTCATTTCACCTTAAGTACTTCCTAAAGACCCTATCCCAGATACAGTCATGTTGGGAGTAGGGCTTCAATGTACGAATTCTGGGGGACACAATTCAATCCACAGCAAAACCCAGTTCTACCTGTGTGTGTGTGTGTGTGTGTGTGTGTGTGTGTGTGAGGAAGATTTGCCCTGAGCTAACAGCCATGCCAGTCTTCATCCACTTTATACGTGGGATGCCTCCACAGCGTGGCTGATGAGTAGAGTAGTCTGCACCCAGGATCCGAACCCTCAAACCTGGGCCACTGAAGCAGAGCATGTGGAATTTTAACCACTCAGCCACAGTGCCACCCCACCCCCACCCCCAACAAAATCCAATTCTAAATCCAAGATCTGGAAGTGACATCCATTCCTCCCCTAGTTTTGCTGTAATCTCATCTCCCTATTCTACCACCTGAGAACCACCACCAAGACACCTGATTGGTTAGGATAGGCTGGGTTACGCTGCAACAACAAATGCCACCCAAATCTGAGTGGCTTAAGGCAACAAAATTCTATTCCCCATGCACACCAAGCCTGCTGTGGGTCCAGGCGAGTCTCTAGCACAGCTGTGCTCCTTACGGTGGCTCAACATTTCCGGCTGCCTTGATCTTTGGGCATGCTCCTTCATCTCAACACATGTTCCATGATCATTCCAGCCACGGAAGACAGCAAGGGGAATCCTTGCTTAAATGCTTCTGTCCACAGATGACACATGCCACTTCTGCACACATTTCATTGGCTGAAGTCGGTCACAGAGCCATGCCCAACATCAACAGGGCAACTGCCAGAAGTAAACCAGAGTCTTCATGAGTACGAGCAACATCACCACAAGAACCTCTATTCAAGAACGGAACAAAGGAAGATGAAAGGAAAGGGCAGTCAGTGGAAGAAAGAGAGACATTTCACAACCAGGCAGGAAATCTGCATAAAACCCACAGTCTGAAACTGGTCCTGGGGCTGAGCTGGCATTTACTACTTCCTTCCTGTATTAGTTATCTATCGCTGTGTATCAACTCACCACAAATTTAGCGGCTTCAAAAAATCCAAATTTATTACCTCAGTTGCTGTGGGTCAGCAGTCCAGGTACAGATTGGCTGGGTCCTCTGCTCGGGGTCTCCCCAGGCTGAACTTGGGGATGCAACCTCATCTCAGGCTCAGACTCCTCTTCTACAGCCTCTGGGTGTTGGCAGTTGGGGTTGTAGGACTGAGGTCCTCAGTTCCTAGAGCTGCCTGCAACTCCCTGCTGCATGGCCCTCTCCACAACAGGACAGTTTGCTTCTTCAAGGCCAACATGAGAGCATCTGCTGCTGCCTCTTATCTCCAGACACTTTTTTAAAGGACCTATCTGATTAGGTCAGGCCCACCCAGGATAATCTCCCTTTTGACTAACTCAAAGTCAATTGATTAGGGACCTTAATTACATCTGCAAAATCCCTTCATTTTTGCCATATGGCAATAGCTTAATCACATGTGTGATATCCTATCATATTTACAGGTAAAGAGGTCAAGGGGAACCCCTCAAAGAAGGATTATACAGGATACACAAACCAGGGGACAGGAATCTAGAATTCTCTTTACCACCCTTCCTCTATGACTTATTCCTTTTACCTCCAACTGGCACTTCAGCCAGTTGATATTCTATGATTGTTAAGGGACCCAAACTTTCACACCCAAGGGATACCAGCCCCTGGTGGTCCAGCTTGATGAAGGTTACAGGGGTTCTCCATTAACTTTGACAACTGGGCATGACGTCACTATGAGGTACCCCAGGTACCCCCAGGATCACCTGGATGCCTTTACACTCCTCCACAACCCCATCTTGTAGCAGCAGCCTTATTTCCCCTCAATAGTCAGGATTGACCTCCCAGGCCAGTGTGATAACTCCACATTCACCCCGTGGCATGAGAAGCCCAAGCCAGATGATAGCCTTAGCTTCCAATCTAAGAAAACCACTCCCCTTCCAGAAAAAACGAATGAGATGTTCTGCACACTAGAAAAACATTCTTCTCCACTGTCCTTCAGGATCACCCTGAATGGAGCTTTAACATTATAGTGGTCCACCACAAGCTAGTCCAAGCAAACTGTGCAGAACCATACAAGCCTGGCTCAAAAATGGCTTTGTGGGTCAATGGCCATAGGGAAGTTTCCATGGGCTATAGGTGTGGACTGATGCAAGGGTGGCGATAACCCAGGAATGGGCATGCTGGGAGTGTAAGCACCCTCACTGACCTTGTACAGCATGGCTATCACCACTGGATCTGCTGAGCTAAAAGGCTGAGCAGCAGAGGCTGGCACTGCTACCACCTTTACCATCACCACTACCAAAATGGATCCCTATGGTCTCTTCTCCTTTTCATCACTAGCTCCAATTTACAGTCCTGAAGGGTGCACCTGATTGGCTGAACCAGGCCATGGGACCACTCCCTAAATGCAGGGGGAGTGAGAAAGTGAGTATCCAGCCTATCAGGCTTTTATGTGGGAAAGAGGTTCAAACGTGGTCAGTCAAAAACAACACAAAGGTCTGCTACAACATATAAATAAAAGAACTTCAAATTGGATATATGTATGAAAGACACAACAAAAAAGGCTAAGAATGATAAAAATGGGAAGAGATGGCAACGACGACATGTTTTACATTTAAATAGGGTGGTTAGGGAAGGCCTCTTTGAGGAGACAATAGTTAAGCTAACACCTAAAAGAGAAGTCAGCCCCTCGAGGAGAAAAGACCAGTGTGGCTGGAGTATAGTGGGCAAGGAGGAGAGGGTACAAGGTGAGGTAAGCCAGGGAGGCCGGGGTTGCATGATCCGAGTCTTTACAGGACACAGGAAAGAGTGCCAATTTTGTTAAGGCTATGAAAGACGTAAGCAGATGAGTAACATGACCTCATTAACAGTTTAAGAAGATCCTCCTGGAAGTTTTGAAAATGAGTTCTATAGGGCAGTGGGAAGGTCAGAGGGCTCTTCCAGTAGTCCAGGAAAGAAACGATGCTGACCTGAGCCAGCTGGTGGCAGCTGGAACAGAGGAGGGTTCTCGACATACTTGTGAAACTGAACAGCAGGCTGAGCTGATAGCTTATATTTGAGGCCTGAGGGAAAGGGGAAAACCAGGATGACACCAGTCTGCAGGCCCAAGCAGCTAGAGGGATGGTGGTGACATCCTCTGCAGTGGATGACTGGAAAAGGAGACCAGCTGGGAGGGAGGTACTGGGAATCGAGAGTTTGGTTTGAAATAAGGTGTCTTTGAGAAAGCCAAGAGAAAATCCCAAACAGGCAGTTGGTTCTACAGCCTGGAACCCGGAAGAAAATCTGTACGTCACTTCCAGTCCTTCTACCTCTTCTTTCCTTCACTCTGGTTGGCCACCAAGTCATGAGCTTTGTGCCTCTTTATGTCTGTGGTGTCTGTGTCTCCCCAGCCCCACAGCTACGGCCAGCCCTGGCTTCAGCCTCCCTCCTCCGGGCAGGAGCAGTACCTGGGCTGGTCATCCCCACGGTTCCATCCTCCGGAATCTTTCCAAAGATAGATCTGACCAGAAATAACTTCCCCAGTCCACCTTCCCCGCACACATAGCTTCTCTCCCCACTTGCCCTTCCCCCACCTCACCCACAGTGGGATTAATCACAAACCCGATCCCTCCTCTGAGCCTTGTGCTTGCTTTTCATTCTCCCTGGAATGTCCTCCCTCCTGCCTCACCCATCCTCATGGCTCTACAGAGCTCCTTCCACCCTGCAGCCTCCCCTCTGATCCCCCAGGGCACACCATCTCCAGCCACATAGGTCACCTTCTGCTTTGTGTTCAGGGGCCCTTGTTTCCTGAGCATCTCCCAAGCAAGCTTAGCCCAGGCTCAGGAACCCTGGGGCTCAGAGTGGCCCAAATTGCAGGAAACGAAGGAGAGGGGGTGTGTGGGAAATCCTGACAGTGGTGTTACTTCAAACTCCAGAGGGCAAGAGGCAGGGAAGGGGGGTGTGCTATTGCTCAAGACTTCCCCCATCCTGGTGTCCCGTCACCTCCGGAAGTCCTATGCAATGTGCCACCCACACTCTGAGCCTGCAGGCCCAAGCCTTCCCTCTGGCTGGGCAGGGACCCTCTGGATATGGACAGAGGCTTTGGAGAAGGAGGTGTGAAGCAGACCCCTTCCCAGGATCAGGGACTTTCAGGAGCTGAGTCATCTGGTTTCTTGCTCATTTCCAGCTCCTTTCTGGAACAAGACAGCCCAGCCTCCTCAGGCCAGAGCTCCCCTTCCACAGGCCATGAGTCCCATATCCCCTTTCTCCTATATGCTAGACGCCCTCTGCAGGCCCCAGGAGGCTGAGCCCAGGCCAGGAGCCCCATATCCCATTTTCCCTGTGCAATGGATGCCCCCTGCAGGCCCTTGGAGGCTGAGAGCCACGAAGGGATGGATTGACAAGCAGTCAGAACACATGCTCACACAAACACACAAGTGCTGACACCCTCATCACCCACATATGTCCATACCCACCCCACACACAGGCATACAGTCAATCACTCACCTACATCAGGGACACACCACGGACATTTAAGCATATAATCACAATATAGACACAAAAGCACATACATGATTACACATACACACAGTCATGGCCACAGACACACAAACACACATGGGCACAATCTTTCCTCCTGGAGAGGAGTGTTTCTTTAGAAGAAATAGGCTGAAAAGCCCCCTGGGGAACGGGTGATATCCTGAGTGGTGGACTTCATAAGAGGGTCCAGCTTCCAGGTCTCATAGGGCCAGTTGACTGGGGAGCCGTTTGTTTTGCTGGGAACTAGAGTGACTTTAGGTTTGGAACAGGGCAGATAAGAGTTAGGGTAGAGCTTCTAGAAAGAGAAATGTGGAGTTGGCAAGAGCTTAATCTATGTAACTTATACGCAAGCTCATTCTTAGAAGCTGGGCTCCTGAACTCAGCAAGCCAGACTGAGCTGTCCTCACCACATCCCAAGATGCCCTAAAGAGAGAGAGGCCTTCGGATACTGGTGATACATGGTAGGTGATGAATGAGAAAGGGGGACGGACCGAACTTTCACCGACTGCCCACTGTGAGTCAGGCACATGTCCTACCTCACTAGATATATATTATTCCCATTTTACAGATGAGGAAACTGTCACCTGTTCCCTGTTTATGTCCAAGGTCATAAAGCCAGATTCTAACACAAGAGTCTGAGGATGAAAACCCATTGTTTCCACTACATTAGTAATGGCAAATGCAAGGCATACATGTTCCCACTCCCAACTCATGTTCTCAACAATGACAGGACGTATGCATCTTCCCCACAGATCTATACCAAGGCTCAGCAAATTATGGCCCCTGGGCCAAATTCAGCCTGCCACCTGTTTTTGTAAATAAAGTTTTATTGGAATACAGCCATCCCTCTTCATTTACAGATTGTCTATGGCTGCTTTTTGGCTACAACAGCAAACTGATTAGTCACTACAGAGGCCAGCAAAACTTTAAATATTTACTATCTTTTTACTTTTACAGAAAAAGTTTGCTAATCTCACCCAAACCCAGCCTTAGAATTGGAGTTGGCAACTGGGACAAGGCTTACTGCCTTTGGTATCTTAGCATTGAAGGATGGTCAGATAAATAAATGAATGGGATGGATGGATTGATGGATGGCTGGATGGAGAGATGGACAGACAGACATACATAGGTAGTATACCAGAGTTTTGCTCCAAATGCCAATGTTCTGCCATTTATAAGCTGGGAAACATTGGGTAAACTAATCTTTCTGAGTTTTAGGTTTCTCATCTATAAATGGGGATAATAATACAGTAATCATTATTCAGAGCTCTTTCTCCTGCAAAAGACAAAAACCCAACTTAAAGTAGCTTAAGCAAAAAGTTATACTTGTCATATCACATAACTAGATCCATTAAGATGATTTAGTCTACTTCAGCCCTACTTGATCCAGGGGTTCAAAAGATGTTATCACCATCTCTTAACTTTATTTCTAATTCTTTGTGTGGGGGCCTCATTCCTGTTATAGACAGGTGCTCTTCTAGCAGCAGCAAATATGGCCACTGGAAGCCTCAAGTCTAGATTTTTATAGTGAATGATCTAAAATAGAGACCCTCTTTCTCCTAACATCAAACTCCATGAAAAGCTCTGATTAAGGAGCTTGTGACACATACTCAGTTCTTCAGTATATTACAGTGATGGGGAATGGGGTGCTCTGATCAGGGCACTGTGGTTGACAGACCCACCAAGACTATATGAAGCGGGAGAGGAGCTCCCGAAAGGAACCTTAAAAAGGAGTATAGAACAGTGTCTGCATGAACAAAAACATAGCTTATGGCACTCTACTTCACAGCTTCGTCACGCAACAACAAATTTAAAGTATTTAGCAGGGAACCTGGCACATAAGGATCAACAAATGTTAACTATTACCATAAATGATAGATAGATAAATGGACGCCTTACTAGATGCATAATGGTTGAACATACAGATGAATAAGTGCAGATGAAGATATGAAAAGACAGATGAAAGGAAATATGGAAGAAGGAAAAATGGACCAATGAAGAGACAAAGATGGGTGGACATATGGACACATGATGGATGGATAGATAGATGGATGGATGGATGGATGGATGGATGGAAGGATGGATGGATGGATGAATGATGGATAGATAAGCCAGAAAAAAATGGGCCCACAGTTAAGTGTGTCACATCATATGCTCTAGGGCTGGGAATGGGAAACAGAATAGCACTCCACAATTAGTCTTTCCTGAGAGGTCTCCTCCTCTGGTCTCTGTCTCTTGGATCTCTCTCATCAGTTGGGAAAAGTATTTGCTCCCCTCTCTCATCTCTAGATTCCTGGTCTGTGAACTGACCAGCCTCTTTTTCCTCAGAAATCCCCTCGTAATTCTCAGGATAGGTAAGGCATGGTTAGAAGAAGGGAGTGTTCTAGGCCAGGCTTATCTCAATCTATTCCTCCAATTCAGCTTGGAACACAGGAAAATGTGTCAATGGGGAGAGGGGCAGTACTGGGTGGGCCAGGAGGGTGAAGCCCTAGAGTCCCAGGATGTGAGGTAGGGGAGCTGGACCTGCTCCCAAAGAACTTTCCCTTTACCTCTGCTTGTCCAAGGGATGAGTGAGTCTCAGATGATGGATGTGGAAGCACTGAGATAGGCCTACGGAGACCTGGGGAACCTGGGAGGGGACCTTCTCCAGCCTTATCCCGCTTCTTGTGATTGTCCTCAGGGAATCTAGGGGACCAGCTAGGTCCCATCCTTCCCACTCCAGGTGTCTTAGGACCACCGAGAAGAGGTGGAGGTGAGGAGAAACCTGGGAAAGAGGGAGGCACTCTTTACTGAACCTCTAATCCTGAACCAAGCCCTGACCCCTAGCCTGAAGTCTGAGAGTTCAAATACCTCGGAGGAGATAACACTGCAAACCTTCCCTAAGGGCAACAGTACAAACCCTCCTTCCTTCTTCCAAACTGCTGATTGCTGAGATCCTCAGAGCTAAAGACAAGGAGTGAGAAATGGGGGAATGGGGACAGGGAGGCTACTGAAGAGTTATGAAAGGGAAAAAAGGTTCTTCCAGAGAGAAGGAGACAGTGGGGAGCACATCCAGCGGAGAGGTATCCTGCGACCAACTCATGTACTGCAATTCAATTCGGACACTAACTACCCAGAGTTAGCGTTAGACTCCACAGGTTTAAGGGCACAGTCCCAAAAAACCTGCCCCCACTTGAGCTGCCAGCTACAAGTGGGGTCCCCAGGCCACCTGCATCTCTGACCAACCAGCTACAAGTCCTGGATGTTCTCACAATGCTCCTCAGGTTCAATAATTCACTGGAGTGGCTCACAGAACTCAGGAGTGCTACACTTACAATTAGTTTTTTACAAAAGATATAAACCAGGAACAGCCAAATGAAGAGATACACAGGGCAAAGTCTGGGAGGGTCTCAAATGCAGAGTTTGCACACTCTCCCCACAGAGACACACAGAGCACATCACCCTCTCAGCACGTCAGTCAGTATGTTCACCAACCAGGAAGATCCATGAGCTTTGGTTTTCATTGAGATTTCATCACACAGACATGAATGAATTGTTGGCCACATGACTAAACAATCTCCAGCCCTCCTCCCCTCCCCGGTCAGGCTGGCTCAAAGCCCCATCTCTGCAATAACATGGTTGGTGTTTCTGGTGACCAGCCTCCATCCTAAATCATCTCATCCCTTAGCATAAACTCAGGTGTGATCCAAGGGGCTCATAAATAACAAAGATACTCCGATTACTTGGGAAATTCTAAAGATTCAGAGTCTCCCTCTCAGGAACCAGGGACAAAGGCCAGACAAATTCTTTATTATACAACAGAGGGAAGAAATTTCTAGGCACAGAAAATAAAAGCTTCAGGCAGCCATAAATAGGAGACAGCCACAGCTTCACACAGGCTCACACATGTACACTCACATGACCCTCGCCATCACACTTCTGCTCACTCTCCCCCATCCAGCCTCACACAGTCTACACAGGCTCCACATAAGCAGGACTCCCACAACCCACACACATGCTGCTTCCAGAGGTTCTACCCATCTGTCCGTCTCTATCCATCCTCCATGGCCTCTTGCGTAGCACTGCTCCTCTTCTCAGCGTGCTGATTTCTCGGTTTCCCCTGGAAAGGGGAGGGGGTAAAATGGTAAGGTGAGGGGTATAGCCAGGACCAGCACACAGGTCTCAGGGAGTCTGTGAAGGAGACTGTGAGTTCAGGTCAACACCCAGGTCTGACAGTGTCTGTGATCCTGAGAGTGTACATGTACCACCAAATGGGTATGCCCTCGTGACCGTGTGTCCCTGTGCACTGTGGGTATATCTGTGCATTGTGTGTGTTCCTATGCAGACTACACATGGGCTTGTGTGGTGTGGGTGTGCCTGTGTCCTGTGTGTGCTCCTAGGTGATGCAGATGCACCTGTGTCCCAGGTGTTCCTCCACGTATCAGTGCCTGGATGGATCCTGGGCCCTGGCTGTCCTTCCCTCTGGAGGCTCTGTCTCCTCTAGCCAGGGTTTCCAGAGGAAGAGGACAGTGCACACAGGTGGGGGAAAGAGGAACACTAAAGCTATGGCACTGGACACAAGTGTCCTGAATTCCAGTCAGGGCTGTGGCCTTCCCACCTCAAGCCCTAAGGCTAACACCAGCCCCGGGCTCTGAGTGATGCCAACTCTATTTCTTGGTGAACCAACACTCACTTCTTGGGAACATTTTTGGTGCCTTTTTGTTCCTATCTTCTCCTCAAGGATGACTACAGGATACTGTTTTCTTGTGGGTGGGACGTGGAGAGTAACGGACCTCCCTCCCATTCACCTCCTCCATCACCTCCACCTCCATTCACCATCTTACTTCCCTGCTCCCTGCCGAGTCCCCTGTCACAAGAAAACCCCTGAAACAGGTTCCCAGATGTGGTCCCCAGCCTTGCCCCTCACTCCAGGGCCTGCCAGGAAGCTGGGTTCCACAGCTCCATTCTCTCTGACCTGACTCCAGGTTCACCACAGTGAGAGGTCGCCAGCTCTGTGCCCCCCTAGACCAGCCCTGGGTGGAGCGCATCATCCGGAGACTGCAGAAGAACTCTGTAAAGGCAAGCCTGACCCTCCCCAGTCCTGCCTCCTCCCTTGAGCCCCTGCCCAAGACCCCAGCCCATGGCCTTGCCTCTCCTTCCTCCTCCAGAGCAAGCGCCACAGCAGTTAGCCCATGACAGTCCCGGAGGAGGCCCTGTGTCTGAGTGAAGGGATGTGAATCACTGTGGCCCTGGGGAACCCAGGACCAGAAGGAGGTATCAGGCCTTCAGCTCCCCTGCACCAGACCTGACCCAGCCGGGGTGGGGCCCGGAGTGTCAGTGTGAGTGCGAGTGAGAGTGAGGAGGTGAGGGGGCAGGAGCACAGCTCCTCCTCGCCCAGACTGCAATGCTTCCAACAAAGGCCACTGGCACCCATGGATCTGCGTGTCACTTGTCTGTCTGTAGCCCAGGCAGGGGAAGACAGGTCTGAGATGGAGAAAGAGGGTGGGATGAGGGGAGGGAGTAGGTGTATCCATTCTCCACACTTCAGCCTGAGGGAACTTCCGCTTCCCTTATTTCTGGTCACTCTGTCCCCTACCGTCCAGCCACAAGGCTCCCTCCACTAGCCGGGGCAGCTATTTCCAACCTCCCACACTGGGGTAATTCCTCTTTCTGGGCTTTGCCGAAGCACCATCTCCTTCCCCCAGCCAGTCTGCCGTGTTTATTGTAATGATCTGATGGTCCTTTTCGATCCCCCATCTCCAAGCCAGATGGCAGCGCTCTGAGGGCAGAGACTCCCTCCGCTTGTCTTCTCTACTGATGTAAGCCCAGGCCCAGCACAGTGCCTGGCACATAGCAGACGCTCAATAAAGATTTGTTGATTGAATGACTGGAGGAACAAAAGTCACGGGAAGTAGCTCTCAGCTCAGAGAGGAAAGGTTGCGACCCTCTGGCCATTAAGGGACCTGGCCCAGGCCACTCAGCCGACAAGTATTCTGGGGCCTGGCCCTTCTAGACCGGGCCGTCCCTGGAGACCAATTCCTCCTCAGCCCAGGGTCAGACAAGTGCAATGGGGCAGACAAGAAAGTCCATCCGCAGGGCAGAAGCCAAAGGCGGCGGGCGGGGATTGGGGAAACAACTTTGGACGCGTCCCAAAGCCCTTTTCTGGCGTCTCCCAGGGTGGGGCGCCAAACTCTGACGCCATCCTTATAAAGCGGGTCCTGTGCCCCGTATCTGATTAAGAAATCCCGACTCCACCCCTTCAGTGACAGGCCTGGCCCCACCTCCTGGCGTGACGTTCCCTCTCCGCCACCTATGAAGAAAGGCTGGCCCCGCCCCTTCCGGGTGACAGGCAAGCCCCACCCGCCGCGCGCGGAGTCCCTGTGACGTAACCGTAACGGCAGTTTCCGGGGTGGAGCCAGGGAGGGCGGGAGTTTAGGCTGCGCCGACCCTCAGCCCCCCTCCAGGTGACCTCAGCCCCCGAAATTCTTCACCCGGGGCCCCGAATATCCCAGCCCCATGACCGCCCAGCCTTCCGCCCTGAGTGCCCCTCGCCCCCGAGGTGACCGACCTCCTCATCCCTTAAGGTCCAGTGCCTCCCAAACCTCCAATCCCACCCTGTCCCGATGTGGCAACTGCGGCTTCCCGGGGGCACCTACCTCAGATTACCTGGGAACAAGTCAGACCGGTCCCGGGAATGGCCGAGAAGGGGGCCCGGGGCTGGGGAGGCCTTGATCCATCGTGCCGCTTCCCAGGAGACGTTCGGAGCCCGGGACATGTCGGGATTGAGGAGATACGAGGTGGCGCTGGAGGCGGAGGAGGAGTGAGTGGAGGCGGTTCCGCGGAGGAGGAACCCAGCCGCTCCGGGGGGGGGGAGGGCGCGAGTTCCCCGCGAGCGGGAGGAGCGGGGGGCGGGGCCTCCTGGGGGCGGGGCCGCGAGGGGAACCGGGGGGCGGGGCCTGCGGGGTCAGCCTGCCCCGCCCGGCCCGCCTCTGCCCTCTCTCCGCAGGATCTACTGGGGCTGCTTCTACTTCTTCCCCTGGCTGCGCATGTGGCGGAGGGAGCGGAGGTGAGGGGCTGCGATACCGCGGATCCGCCCGGTGCGTGGACGCGGCTCGGTCTCGGAGGGGCGATCTGGGCGTCCCCGCCCCTCCTCATGCTATGTCGGGTCGCCCTACAGCTCGGCGCACCCCCGGGAGCAGAAACTGGAGCCTCTGCGGGGCCTGATGAGCTGTCTGTCAAACGGGCTGGGCCCTGCTCCCCAGCGCTCCGGTCGCGGCCTCCCCCGCCGCACGCCCGCCGCCACTGCCCAGCCCGCCGGTGCATTAAAGATTTAAACCGAAGTCCGCCGTGCTGCCCTCCTGACTCTTACGCCGCCGCCGCCGTTCGGGCTGGGAGCCCCTCTCCAGGCTGACCAGTTTCCTTAATGACAGGGCCTCCCCGCAACCCCCCACCATAGGGTGCCCTTCCATGTAAAGGCCCCCGTTATTCCCAAGGATCCCTCGTCAGTGTCAGGCATCCTATTAGTATAGTGACCCCCCCACACACACACACACGGCGGGAACTAAATAGTCTTGGCCTAGTCTTCCAACTTATCCCCACGTTGATGTGTTCTCACTACCCCAGCTCTCTGCTACCACCTTCTTCCTAACCAAGACTTTGCCATTTGTCTGAAGAATGTTCTTTTCCTGGGAGTGGATCTAAAATATTTTAAGCCCAGCGTTGTAGGAAGTAGGCTGTAAGAGGAGAGGAAGATTCCTAGAAGCTGCCTCACTCAGCCTGCCAACAGGGAGTGATGAGACTGTTGGAGATCTTTCCTATAGTTGATACCCTAACTTCCGGCTCCTCCAGTCTGATCCCAAGTTTAAAGACGCTTGGCATCAGCCCACCTAGCAGTTCTTGCTACCTCCCTAGGAGAACCCAAGAGCCACTGCCCCCTGCCATCCCTTTCTGTCTTGTCACCTAGTGAGCCTGCTTTCAGTTAGGGACTGACCCTAGCCTAAGAAAGGGCACCAGAGGATTAAGTTAAAGAGACAACAACCCAGTTTGTGGGTGAGGGCAAAGCTAACTTTCAGCCTGGGGCTGCTGCTGCCTCAGCAGGTTGTGGCTGGAGAGAAGAGTTGGCCCTTTCTTTGGAGAAGCCAAAAGAGAGAGAGATGGGTGCATACCAGGAAGAATTCATTTCTTGCCTTCTCAAGTCTCTGGACTGACTGGTCCAGGAAAGACAACAAAGTATGTGGCAGATGGCCAGCTGATGGAGCAGATCTGTGACAAGACAATGGCACCTCAATGGCTACACCTAAGTTCTGAGGCACAAATCCAGTCTGAAGGGTGGGAAGAGAGTCCCTAAGGCCTCTGTACTAGAAGTTCAAGATGAGTGACCTCTGGATTGTGGCCACCTTCAAGAACAGACCTGGGCTCTTGAGCCATTGCCTCACAATGTCCACATGAAGAACCCCATCAATAGTGGAGTACCCTGTACAGCCCTGGGCCTGCACCTCACCAAGACACTCAGAATTCCTCCTGAGTACCCACAACACAAACTCTGGGGAAAAGCCTTCAAGCCTCATCCTGGACAGGAGGGAGAAGCTTGAGTTGTTCAGCCAGAGAGGGGGACTAGTCCCTACTCTTGGAGCTGATGGTTGTCTCTGAATTGCTACAGCAGCCCTGCAGCAGAAAGAGATGCCTAGGGAAGGTGCGCGTCCCTATTCCAAGAGAAGGCCTGCCCCATAGAGCGTAGCTGGCCACAGAGCAGAAGGCTGCAGAAGGCACCCCTGCCACAACCAGATAAGAGCTGGATTCCTGGGTTATGACTCCGTTTATGTTTCAAATACAGAGCAGGACTTGAGGGTTGAAATCCCCAGACCAGGAGTGGGAAATTCTTCAAGGTGCCAGGGGCACTAAACTTAGCAGCTTGCCCTTACCCTAGGCAGTTCCCAGCTTCCTAGAAAGGACAGGAGGAGGAGGAAGAGGAGGAGTTTTACACTGGGGGGGTGAGAGGAACTGGGGAGTGAGGGCTGGGTATGGGATTAGCAGAGAAGGGACAGAAAGGAGATGGGAGGTTGCGGCTTTAGTAAGAGGATGGGGTGCAGAGGGTGTAGTGGTTGTTGATGAGGTATTACTAGACCTGGGTGGGGAGGGGGGATGTTTCTCTAGGCCCACAGTGGAGAGAGGCTGGAATTTGAATAAAACAAAAGAGAGGTAATTGAGCTCTTGAGCCTGATATCTCAATAAGCCAGAGACTGAGTCTGGAAACCCCAGGCCCTTGCTGGCAAGAGGCTGGCATGTCTGGGACAGGACTAGGCAAAAACAGGAAAGTAAGGGGCCAGCCCCAGGGGCCGAGTGGTTAAGTTCGCACACTCCGCTTAGGCGGCCCAGGGTTTCACCGGTTCGGATCCTGAGCACAGACATGCCATCGCTCATCAAGCCATGCTGAGGCGGCGTCCCACATGCCACAACTGGAAGGACCCACAACTAAATATACACAACTGTGTACTTGGGGGGCTATGGGAAGAAAAAGGAAAAATAAAATCTTTAAAAAAATAAGAAAAACAGGAAAGTAAGATTTCTTAGGTCTTTTACTTGTTTGGCAGCAGCAACCTGGCACTAAAGAACCTTTTTCTTCCCTCATCTGCCCTCCCTATCTACCCCATCCTTCCTCCTTGTCTCATCTGCCTGGGGAAAACAGCCCCCACCTCAGCCCCAAGGCACCTGCAATACCACGACAAGGGCTTCCTCTCAGCTTCCCTGAATGTGACTGACCCTAGCCAAGACTCCTCCTCAGCCAGAAGGGCCTGCTTCGGGGACCAGTTCCCATCAGTTTCTCCTGATAAGACAGGCAGGCTAGGGCAGGAAGTGGGGACGGGGAAATGAAGGCAAGTCGGCACTGGCCTGCCCTCTGCTCCCACCCCACCCACAACTTCCCCATCAGAATTTGTGTGTGCTAGTATGCTTGTGTGATTGGATGATTGTGGAAACACAACTGTGTGGTTGTGGGACGCTGAGTATAAGGCAGGGCTGTGTGATTCCGCCTCTAGTTGTCTGACCATGCAAGGCTGACCAAGGGATTGAGGTGCTACCGTGATTGAGTAGCTACGGGTATGTGAGTGTCAATGGCCATCACTGGATGCCACTGGGGATCCTTGGCTGCCCTTACTCACTGTACTCTCAGTCCCCATATTCTGCACTATCCCTCTCCCCAGCTTCTCTGCCCAGGGCTTAAGAACCCAGGGGGAACAGCATTCCTAGAAGAAGAAGTGGTCTGTGGCAATTAGGGCCCAGGAGTGTCACAGGATGAGTAATACATTTCCACCTGCCTCTGACTCACCTGGTGCCCCAGGTGAAAGGCATCTAGATAAAAGGTAGGGGAAGAGCAGAGAGAAGGATCCAGGCTGAGCAGCATGAAGGGGCCCTCACCTACCAGCAGCCTCCTGCTGTTACTGTTGCTCCTGAGCACAGACCCTACAGCAGGTGAGTGTTTGGGGGTTTACAAGGCCAGGGGTCTGGGTGAGTGGGATGGAGGGAAAAGGGCCTAGAGTCCAGCCTCCAGCTGTCTGATGGACAGGAGCCCTCTGAACACATGGCCCCGTTGCCTCCTAGCAATTCTGCTGCCACCCAGCACTAGCTGCTGTACTCAGCTTTACCGACAGCCACTCTCGAGCAAGCTACTGAGGAAGGTCATCCGGGTGGAAGTACAGGAGGCTGATGGGGACTGTCACCTCCAGGCTATCGTGTAAGCTTTGACCCTGCCCCTAATACTGTCCCCTGACTCTGAATCCAGTCCCAACCCCTGATGCTGATCCCAACCCCAGCCCCAACTGCTAATTCTGATGTCGGCACAGGTTTTCATTTGGCCTTTTCCCCTAACCCCTGGACCCTAACCTCGTCTCCAAGCTATGACCATGACTTTGGACCCTTCCTTTCCCAGGCTTCACCTGTCTCAACGCAGTGTCTGCATCCACCCTCAGAACCGCAGCCTGGCCCAGTGGTTTGAGCGCCAAAGGAGGAGGCTCCAAGGGATTCTGCCCAACCTGAATTTGGGGCTGACAGGGAAAATGGGCCAGGGCCCCCAATAGCCAAAATAATAAAGCAGCATTGGATAGTCATCTCTGAATGTGGTCTCCAAGTTCTATGCACTCTCCTGTGAGCCCCGAATCTGGAAGACATGGCAGTCAACAGAAGAACCTCCTCATTCTCTTTATTCACACCTTCAGAACCCCTGCCGGGGGCAAGGCCAAGAGGCAAGGACCCACACATACTCCTCAGGCACCTACATACATACATTCAGAGAACACATGTTCCCTGCCTCACATACTCAGGGGCACACATGGACATAGACATACACATCTACACACATTCCTCAGGTGGACCTCCAGCTCTGGGATGAATCAGAGGTCCAGGCACCTTTCAGACGGCAAGTTTAGAACAGAGTCTCATAGAAATGGGCTCCAAACAGAAGTTCCAGCTGAGACCCCCACTCCATGGGGATCTACTGTCCTGCCTGGGTTCTATCTGTCCGTCCATCCACACCAGCAAGACAGTTACAGGTGGAATCAGCTGAAGCCCTCCTGGATCCTCTATAGGTTTGGGGCTCCTAGAAGAAGCAGGAGGCAAATCAAGGGAGATAGTAGGACTAGATCTTGGCCCAGACACCCTGAGAATGAGGGAGGGGACCCAGATCTGAGCCCAAGAATGGACTCACTCCAAGAATCAACAGGGAAGCCCAGCTCTGAGTGAGCCCCAACACCCTGAAGATGAGAGAGAGAACCTAGCCCTGGGCCCAGGTACATCAAGAATAAGAGAGGGGACCTAGCTCTGACCCAAGACAGATGGATAAGGATGGATATCCAACTCTTAGCCTAACACCCTGAAAATGAGGAGGGAGTCCATCTAGGAGCCCCAGTACTCTGCGAGAGAGGGAAAGACCCAGCTCCAAGCCCAGGGACTCAAGAAGGAAAGGCCCAACCCTGAGCCCAGACATCATAGGACCCAATTCTGATTCTCAACTCCCTTACAATGACCAGGACATCTGGCTCTTAATCCAGACCCTCTCAAAATGAGGGCACACATCACGGAGTCCAAAATTCCTGGAGGTCCTACTCACCTGGAAGCTTATCCACTGGAATCATTGGGGCCAAGAACCCAGGCTTTTGGGGTCCATCCTTCCCACCTGGTCTCAGCCGCAGCCTGGGGCATAAAAAGGCAGCTGTCTCCCTGACAGTGGGGAGCTTCTCAGTATCCTCCAAAAGGGTTCATTAGTAAAGGGTCAGGAGGGTAGTCAGAATCATAAAGTTGGGGGCAGGGGAGGAGCTCCAGAATCAGACAGGTTCAGTGGGAAGTCAGTCAGTGGGCAGTCATGAGGGGTGGGGATGCACATGGTCTATGGGTATCAGAGCATCTACGTGGGATCAGAGGCTGAAGGGCCATTGGCAGTTACTTACCAGAGCCCCAGTGCCAAGGCCCCAGCTGCCAGTCCCAGGAAAGAGAAGATTCCCAAAGATGCCAGCACCGCCATCTGTTCCAGGGGGTCTCTGTGGTCTGGGGGGAGCGTCACATGCCACTGTGAGAGCAAGCCCGCCTGACTAAACTCAGCACCCTTTCTCTCTGGGGCTTTCCATCGTCTACAACCTGTGCCATTCTGCCCAAGCTCACCAAGTGGCCGAGGGTCTGGCAGGAGGGAGGGCCTCGGGGGAGCGGGGCTGGCCACCTGAGGCTGCTCCTCCGGCTGCGTGTGGGGCTGGCTCCCCGCTGGCATCTCCTTCGGGAGGGGCCCTGTAAGCAGGCGAGACCTGAGAACTATCCATGCCGGGTGGAGGCCAAGGCCAGGCCTGGCAGGCAAGACCCGGGGCCGCCAGGACCCAGGGGCGGCCAGGACCCAGGGGCGGCTCAGAAGCGGAGCCTGACGGGGCGTCGCCAGGCTGGAAGCTGAGGGCCAGGGCTTAATCGAAGGGAGGTGAGGAGGCAGGCAACCCAGGGAGAAGCTGGACCTCAACCCCACCTGGGCGGGCCTGCCCTGGCCGCTAGCACCACCCAGGCCGCCCAGAGATGCTACTGGGTGGCCCCTCCCTTTCCGCTCGGTCTCTCACCAGTGCTCGGAGTGCCCCAGGCTTCCGGGCTCCAGGCGCTCCAGGTGCCAGCGTCCAGGAAGTCTCGAGCGCTGACCCGGACGGCGTGGGGCAGGCCGGCCACAGCGTCCGTGATCACCTCCTCCAGTCCCGCCGGCTCCACCTGGGAGGGAGGGTGATTCATAGGCCCGTTATCCAGCTTGTAAGCACCACGCCTACCTGCCCCCCAGCCCCCATCTGCAAAGAGCACCCCTTCTTCCCAGGCCTGGCCGTCAGCCTGCGGCAGCCATCTGGACTTCACGTGGGGTGGCCCGTGGTGTCAGGCCTACACCTAAGGTGTGGAAGACAAAAGTGCACAGTGGTGATGCAGACAGGCTGTGCCCTCAGACTGCCTGGATTCAAATCTTTGCTGTACCGCTTACTGGGTGACCTTGGGCCTCTCTGTGCCTCAGTTTCTTCATTTGTAAAATAGAAGTGAATACACCTAAACGAGATAACACATGTAAAATGTGTAGCATGGTGCCTGGCAGGCAGACAGCGACCAACAAATACTAGTTATTATCTGAGGCAGCCACTCCCCAACCTGATGCCAGCCAATCTTTGACATCTCCAGATAGGAATTCACCACAACTCTCATCTGGGGATAGGAGTGTTTGTATGAGGATTTGCCTCTGGGTGAAAGGCACTCCTTTTCCTAGAAAAGCTATTTTTAAAAAGTCACTGCTGTCTTCCCACAGATGGGCCTACATCAGAGTTACAGCCCCGCAGGGCAGAGACTGGGTCTGTGGTCCCCGCTGCAACCCCAGTACTGAGCACAAAGCCTGGCCCATGCAGAGCACTCCGTAGGGAGAGAGGACCCGGCTTCAGTGTACCCGGGAACATGAAACCAGAGACACGACCCACAGCCCCAGACTGCAACACATCCCAGGCCTCACCGTGGACCAGGCTGGATGCTGTGCTGGACGGTACTGCAGCCGGAACTTGAGCAGGAAGTGGGGCTGGCGGGGCCAGGAGGCAGGGTACGTCCAGCTAGCATGCAGGCGGCGAGGGTAGCCAGGTACAGACTCTACCCGCAGCCCCTGGGGTGGGTCAGGGCGCACTGAGGGCAGTAGAGACACAAAGTCAGGGCAGGCGGCAGGTACCCATCCCTTCCCCAGCACGTCCCAGGGGAAGGTGTGTGTGCACCTAAAGGTACCCGAGGGAGACACTTCCAAGGGGTTGGGGAAATCTTAAGCTTGATCATCCATTAGGCTCACAACCTGTCTGTCATCCCTATTATAAAATGAGCTGAGATCTAAGACGGCTTTTTGAAATGTTCGTTGAGTGAATTAAAAAGCGATTCTGCTTTCCAGCCAAGGAAGATGATGAGTTGGCCCAAATTCCAGCCAGAGCGTTAGTGCCCTCCCCCTCCCCACACACAGATCAAGAGCAAGGAGGGGCCAGCAAGGGCTTCCACGGGGTAGGAAGAACAGGAGATAAGGCTGCCTTCAGCATGGGCCCTAAAAGCAGAGAGGCAGCCCCAGGGCTAGGCAGTCAAGAAGGACTTGTGGGGAGGGGTAGAGGCAGTGGCCCCTGGGCTCTGATCTCTTTGGCTTCTTAGTCCTCACAGGGGCCCATCTGTGTGCTGCAATGGGGTCCATGTTGGGAGGGAATGTTTGGGAATTCTGGTGGGGGAGGTTCTGTGTTGGGATATCTGTACTCTGAAATCCGTTTGGGGTCTCTGTGGTGACGACCTGGGGGTGCTGCAGGGGTGGGTACTCACAGATGTTCTGCAAGCTCACATCCAGCAGACGTGTGCTGGCCCCCAGGGGGTTCACCTCAGTCACATTGATCCGGTACTGGCTCCAGAACTCTGCCCCATGGACTACACAGCGGGCTGCCCCTGGGGGGTCCTGTGGGCACGGCCAGGGCCCTGTGGATGGACTCATCCTAGGAGGGAGGATGTGGTCTTGGGCTTTGGAAATGCTCATCGTGGGATCCAGCTAGAGCCCACAGCTTTTCCCTCATGTCCTACCTCTGGCCATCAGCTCCTGGCACTGTCTTCTTCCTGGCAGGGAGGGCGCCATCTGAGGTCAGGAAGGAAAAGAGGGTCCTCCCTCTCTCTAAGCCTCCCTCAGGACCTCCCTCCATGCCTCAAATACCCACACTGTGCCGGCACACCCAGCTGTACAGGCATCCACACCCCATCGCATACGCACCTGTAGGAAGTGAGGTAGCGGGTAGGTAAACCGCTGACCTGGCTGGGACTCCAAGTGCAGGAGAAGTTCTCATAGTCAGCTGCTCGGCAGGAGACAACCGGGCGGGCTGGGGGGTCTGGAGGCAGAGGGTGCAGCTGGAGACTGAGAAGTCCCAGGTCCTCCCCATCTCCATCCTGAGGGCTCACTCAGGAGTCCCATATCTCATCGCTGCCACCCGACGCTCCCTCTCCAACTCACAGCCCAGCTGCAGGGTCACCATGCCCCCAAGTGCACCATCCAGGGTCTGGCAGATGTAGGTGCCCTCATCAGCGCTGTCTGCCCGTGCCAAGACCAGTTCATGCCCTAGCCCAGAGCCAGGTCCCTGGAGCAGCCTTGTCTCCCCGTCCCGAAACCAGGACACCGGGGCCCTGGGGGTGAGATGAGGTGATGAGAGAGAGGGAAGATTCATTACTTATTTTTTTTTAATTTCTTTTTTAAGGAAGATTAGCCCTGAGCTAACTGCTGCCAATCCTTCTCTTTTTGCTGAAGAAGACTGGCCCTGAGCTCACATCCATGCCCATCTTCCTCTACTTTATACGTGGGATGCCTACCACAGCATGGCTTGCCAAGAGGTACCATGTCCGCACCCGGGATCCGACCCGGCAAACCCCAGGCCGCCAAAGCAGAACGTGTGCACTTAACTGCTGCACCACCAGGCCAGCCCCAGAAAGAGGGAAGATTCAAAGTATAAGTCAGACGATGCCCCAGCTCTCCATTGGCATCTCACTGTGCTTGCAATAAAACCCAAACTCCTTTGCGGCTTGCAAAGCCCCTGGTGATCTAGTCCTTGCTTCCTTTCCTTCT